TTAGTTTACTTTTTCTTCGCTTTAGGCTTAGGAAACCAACACATGACACACGGATCTACGTATATAGTAAATAACATCATTAGTTTACTTTTCTTCGCTTTAGGCTTAGGTCATGTGTTGGTTTACTGTGATTTACTTTATATGTAGGTTCAAATATTAGGTTACTGTTGTTTACTTTATGTTTAGCTGCATGTATTAATTTGCTGTTATTCGCTTTAGGCTTAGGTGTATGTATTGGTTTACTGTTCTTTGATTTAGGCTTAGGTCTATGTATTGATTTGCTGTTCTTCGCTTTTTGCTGAATACTTGTTACTGTTCTTCAATTTAGTCTTAGTTAGATGTATTGGTTTGCCGTTCTTCGCTTGTTTCTTGTTTTTTTTCGGAAACCTTACATGATTTATAGAACGTGTGGTCTGTTGAAAAGATCCGCTTCGGTACAATACCCTTATAAACGTATTTAACACAGTATATTGCACTTTTTTCTCGGCAAAAGCATCTAAATATTATAGCATGAGTCGTCAGAGCAGCACCAATAGAAAAGAAAAAAATATACTAAAAGTAAGAACATAACAAAGATCTGTACAGGTTCAATCATGTGGTAGGAGATACCTGAATCGTGTGTTAAAGTGGCAAATACTTCAGATATTTTTAGCGCTAAGAAAAAAAAATCATTAAGTGGTTCACAAAAAGGCTTGATCTGGAATTTTTGCACTGATATTAAGAAATGCATTTTCTTTTGAAGACCGCCACACAGATTAACACATCGAAAAAAGAAGAAATGGGTTTATTCTCCATAACTGTATTAATCACTTGAGATCAGTGCTATCAGCGCCATCTCGCCTGAGTAATCATTATGATTACTTTTGATACATGCTTTTGCTCTCAATTAGTTTCAGTTTGAATGAAAACTTATTTATAATTATAATTAACACCGAAACTTCTCAAATAAAAATGTAGGTTAAAAATTGCAGTTCATATAAAAAATAAGAGAAGCTATGCCTAAAAGACAGGACGCAAGGAAGGAAAAAAACGTATTGCAACATTTCAGTGCAAAGAACACAAAATAGAAAGAAAATGTCCAGTTTGTATTACAATAATGAAATATTTGAAGGATTTGTTTGTTTGCAGTTAAACACAAAACTGCACAAAGGGCTATCTGTGCTCTGCCCACCACAGGTATCGAAACCCGGTTTTTAGCGTTGTAAGTCCGCAGACATACCGCTGTACCACTGGGGAGGGGCATATTTCGAGGAGCTTGCAGTATTTTAGATAAGAATGATTTTATTCAGAACCTGTAATTAACTGTATAATAACAATAATAAGAACTTCCACTTTTAATATCAGAAGCAGAACAAACTTTGTGACTATGTTATACAAACTAATATCTGTTACAATAAATCCATTATCTTAGTTGTGGTAATCATGACTAATCCAGCCTCGCAGTTAGAATAAATACAGATATCCCATTATCTTAGTTGTGGTAACCATGACTAATCCAGCCTCGCAGTTAGAATAAATACAGATATCCCATTATCTTAGTTGTGGTAACCATGACTAATCCAGCCTCGCAGTTAGATTAAATACAGATATCCCATTATCTTAGTTGTGGTAATCATGACTAATCCAGCCTCACAGTTAGATTAAACACAGATATCCCGTTATCTTAGTTGTAGTAATCATGACTAATCCATCCTCGCAGTTAGATTAAATACAGATATCCAGTTATCTTAGTTGTGGTAATCATGACTAATCCAGCCTCGCAATTAGATTAAGTACAGATATCCCGTTATCTTAGTTGTAGTAATCATGACTAATCCAGCCTAGCAGTTAGATTAAATACAGATATCCCGTTACCTTAGTTGTAGTAATCATGACAAATCCAGCCTCGCAGTTAGATTAAAC